CTCCAAAACTTTTTGGGTGAACTGTTCCTTTAAGACTCACGCTACATTCATTGTATCATTAATTATTATGTTTCACTCAGACATGCGTCACATTATGGAACAAAAACATGTTTTTTCATGTTGCTTTAAAACAAACAACAATTTACAGACATTTTAGATGCACAATGACATTATAATCATCATCAACAACTCATGGCTTGTTCTTAATTACATCATTGTTCTTCAAAATAGGTTTTGGAACCTTATTTGTGGCTGAAATGTTCCTTAAAAGATCCATGTTTCATTACTGCAATCGAACAACACGGACACTAACATCCCACGAAAAAAACGCCCACTGCCTCAACACATGCTAAACTCAACAAGATAATCAGCACTCAGCGAGTGATCTAAAGAAAATGACTGACAACAAAGTTTAAGCTGCCGGCATCAGCATTCGGCTCATCTGTGCCCATATAAATACACATAATCTGTATGACCGTGTTATTTTTCCCAGTGCATGAATCATCCACACAAACAATATGTCACACGCACTCATTTCAAACAGTGCCAGAGGATACGAGCAGACGCACACTGTGTTTAAAGGCAGGTTTGTGCTCGACTGAATTCCTGAAATCAATCGAACATGGGCGGCTGATGAGCGATAAGGTCACCATGGAAACGGTCTCGGCGCAGCATCTTCAGGCGTGCGCCAGTGTTAACCTCTTAAGTGGCAACGGCACGCTCGGCATCACAACACACACACGTCAACATGATCACAGCCTCCGCTACATTAACAGATGGATTAAAAGAGGCAGAAGACATCATGGGAGCACAATGATGCAAACTAGAAACTGCAAGGTGAATTCTGGGAAATGTGTCCTGCTAATAACATGTCTTTGTTAGAAGAAATTTACACATATTTAAACGCTCATTGAGAACAAAGAATCTTAAAGGGTTAGTTCACACAAAAATTTTAATTCTGTCATTAATTACTCATCCTCATGTCGTTCCAAACCCGTAAGACTTTCGTTCATCTTCGGAACACAAATAAAGATCTTTATGATGAAATCTGAGAGCTTTCTGTGTCTCCATTGACAGCGACGCAACTACCACTTTGACGCTTCAAAACGTTCATAAAGAGATTGTAAAACTAATCCATATGAATTGAGTGTTTTAGTCCAAATTTTCTGAAGAGACTCGATGGCTTTATATGATGAACAGATTTAATTATGCCTTTTCTTCACATATAAACATTAATCAGCGAACATGAACAAAATTTCATCCGAAACTGCTTGACGCGCGAGAACAAACCTCTTGCTGAAGCTCAAACGTGCAGCGTAACACGAGAATGAACCTCATTGGTTCTTGCTGAAGCTCAAACGTGATGCGTAACACGAGGATGAACCTCATTGGTTCTCACTGAAGCTCAAACGTGCAGCGTAACACGAGAATGAACCTCATTGGTTCTTGCTGAAGCTCAAACGTGATGCGTAACACGAGGATGAACCTCATTGGTTCTCGCTGAAGCTCAAACGTGCTGCGTAACAAGAATGAACCTCATTGGTTCTCACTGAAGCTCAAACGTGATGCGTAACACGAGAATGAACCTCATTGGTTCTTGCTGAAGCTCAAACGTGATGCGTAACACGAGGATGAACCTCATTGGTTCTCGCTGAAGCTCAAACGTGCTGCGTAACACGAGAATGAACCTCATTGGTTCTCACTGAAGCTCAAACGTGATGCGTAACACGAGAATGAACCTCATTGGTTCTTGCTGAAGCTCAAACGTGCTGCGTAACACGAGAATGAACCTCATTGGTTCTCGCTGAAGCTCAAACGTGCTGCGTAACACAAGAATGAACCTCATTGGTTCTTGCTGAAGCTCAAACGTGATGTGTAACACAAGAATGAACCTCATTGGTTCTTGCTGAAGCTCAAACGTGATGTGTAACATGAGGATGAACCTCATTGGTTCTCGCGGAAGCTCAAACGTGCTGCGTAACAAGAATGAACCTCATTGGTTCTCACTGAAGCTCAAACGTGCTGCGTAACAAGAATGAACCTCATTGGTTCTCACTGAAGCTCAAACGTGATGTGTAACACGAGAATGAACCTCATTGGTTCTCGCTGAAGCTCAAACGTGCTGCGTAACACAAGAAGGAACCTCATTGGTTCTCGCTGAAGCTCAAACGTGCTGCGTAACACGAGAATGAACCTCATTGGTTCTCGCTGAAGCTCAAACGTGCTGCGTAACACGAGAATGAACCTCATTGGTTCTCGCTGAAGCTCAAACGTGCTGCGTAACACAAGAATGAACCTCATTGGTTCTCGCTGAAGCTCAAACGTGCTGCGTAACACAAGAATGAACCTCATTGGTTCTCGCTGAAGCTCAAACGTGCTGCGTAACACAAGAATGAACCTCATTGGTTCTCGCTGAAGCTCAAACGTGCTGCGTAACACGAGAATGAACCTCATTGGTTCTCGCTGAAGCTCAAACGTGCTGCGTAACACGAGGATGAACCTCATTGGTTCTCGCTGAAGCTCAAGCGTGATGTGTAACACGAGAATGAACCTCATTGGTTCTCACTGAAGCTCAAGCGTGATGTGTAACACGAGAATGAACCTCATTGGTTCTCGCTGAAGCTCAAACGTGCTGCGTAACACGAGAATGAACCTCATTGGTTCTCGCTGAAGCTCAAACGTGCTGCGTAACACAAGAATGAACCTCATTGGTTCTCACTGAAGCTCAAACGTGCTGCGTAACACGAGAATGAACCTCATTGGTTCTCACTGAAGCTCAAACGTGCTGCGTAACACGAGAATGAACCTCATTGGTTCTCGCTGAAGCTCAAACGTGCTGCGTAACACAAGAATGAACCTCATTGGTTCTCGCTGAAGCTCAAACGTGCTGCGTAACAAGAATGAACCTCATTGGTTCTCGCTGAAGCTCAAACGTGCTGCGTAACAAGAATGAACCTCATTGGTTCTCGCTGAAGCTCAAACGTGCTGCGTAACACGAGAATGAACCTCATTGGTTCTCGCTGAAGCTCAAACGTGCTGCGTAACACGAGAATGAACCTCATTGGTTCTCGCTGAAGCTCAAACGTGCTGCGTAACAAGAATGAACCTCATTGGTTCTCGCTGAAGCTCAAACGTGCTGCGTAACACGAGAATGAACCTCATTGGTTCTCACTGAAGCTCAAACGTGATGTGTAACACAAGAATGAACCTCATTGGTTCTTGCTGAAGCTCAAACGTGATGTGTAACACAAGAATGAACCTCATTGGTTCTCACTGAAGCTCAAACGTGATGTGTAACACAAGAATGAACCTCATTGGTTCTCGCTGAAGCTCAAACGTGCTGCGTAACACGAGAATGAACCTCATTGGTTCTCACTGAAGCTCAAACGTGATGTGTAACACGAGAATGAACCTCATTGGTTCTTGCTGAAGCTCAAACGTGCTGCGTAACACGAGAATGAACCTCATTGGTTCTCACTGAAGCTCAAACGTGATGTGTAACACAAGAATGAACCTCATTGGTTCTTGCTAAAGCTCAAACGTGCTGCGTAACACGAGAATGAACCTCATTGGTTCTCGCAGAAGCTCAAACGTGCTGCGTTACACGCGAGAATGAGCAATTTAAGTATTTTTAAATTTTGGATGAACAATCCCTTTAATCTTAGTCAGTTTGTCAAGGTCACAGTTACTTCTCATTAAAAATTGAGAGAGCAGACAAAGCCTGAGATGACATGTCTACAGAAACAATTAATTATTGATTTGATCAACAGCTCTGATGAGCACCTCGTCTCCTTGTTTGGTCCATCAAAATTCAATCAATCACGACAAATTAACCAACTCAAGTTAAACTCCCAGTTTACAACCAAACTTCCAATTTGACAGCCAATAATATCATGAAAATGGCATAATATGGGTTAGGTTGACCATTAATGTGAACATCAGTCTAAAACACTTTCTCTCATTGTAATCATTTGAAGTAAATTGACCTTGTTTCTCTAAATAAAGAAAACTTTTAATTAAACAACTGATAAGGTAAAAACTGGAAAAAATGTATCCTTATAGTTGAGTAACAACAATATGAGGATTGCACCATAATCAGAGCAAAATAAGTTAAGACATTTACTCAGAAAACAAAGCAGGAAAGGAAAAGATCTTTAAAACTGTATCTGCCTGATCTCTACAGTGCATCTGAATTTGCCTGCAATAATCTCAATAATTAATATTTTTCTTTCCCACTGACGTTACCAGCCTCCTCCAACCCATCGTTTAATTAAGACTATTTCAAATGCCGACTAGAATTTGAAGGCGGACTTCATAAAGAAGCTCCATTATGGTTCTGGGTTGTGTCACGTAAGTGTGGGAGGGCTGTGATTATTTTCTCTCCCTTAATCAGGCCAAATTTAACCAAGAGTGTTTTAACAGAGGATAAAATGCCTGCACTTGAGAAGTGCTACGTCCTGGACAAACTGAGATTTAAAGGACGCGCTTTCATCACAGATATGTGACTGACACCTGTTACTAATGTAAATCTGGAGATTACGCGCGTTCAGATGTATAGGCACGGGCGCGTAAAAACACAGATCTTCACGCATGCATGCATGGTCTGTGATTTGTTTGCTTTGTCTAGATTTGAGAGTTATTAATAATATGTGACACCTGCCTCTCCAATACGTGTTTCTGACCATTACGATTCATGCACGAGCGCTTACGAGCACACATTTTTAATGCATGCACGAGTTGTGATGTCTTTACTAAGTTTGTTGGAATTGTAACAGGTTTTAAACAGTTTTAGGTGACAAGGACACGCTATCGTCCCTATCCTGTCACGTTTCCAGCACACATTACGCACATGTTTAGAAGCATGCATGAGAACTTAAACGCAAAACAGACTTATCTGCACGCATGCCTGAGTTTAGACGTTGTTTGGATGTTCTACTTAAGCACTGGAAGAGAGTCGCGCGCGCGCGCAACCGTTTGGAGACTCCGCGCTGCGCTCTTACCCGGGCGGCTCTAGAGGAGTACGGGTCCTCAAACAGGTTCCAGATGACCGGCTGCCACTTCCTCCACCTGCTGACGGTGCCGTCTGCGGACACCACATCCTCGATGCCCAGTCGCTTGCCGTACTCGTCGTCCTCGTCGTTGTCCACGTTCATCTCGAAAACATCCAGCGCCTCTTCAGCATCCCGGTGCTGTCGGTAGGTCATCCAGCAGCACGGCTCCACGTCCGTCTCATCGATGCCCCAGAAGGACAGCTCCTCCTCGAACAGCGGACCGCACACGTCCGCCGGGCAGTGCAGCTTCCCGGTCCGGTAGTAGTTGAGCACGTAGGCGAAGACACCCGGGTGCCGGTCGAAGAAGTACTCGTTGCTGCGCGCGTTGTACTCGATGAACCCCGGAACTTGTTGCAGCTGGTCCAGAACCGACTCGAGGTCCGACTCGGAGGCGAGCAGGGCCAGACGCGTGCCCGGCAGGGTCTTCAACGTGGTCCGGTAAGTTTCGTGCCTCGTGCCCCCGACGTTGAGGATTACCCTCTCGTGCTCGTCGAACTTGCCCATCTCTCAGAGTGAGACATGACGCGAGGGGAGTAACGTTACTCTACGATGCTGTGGCGATGCTTGAGTACTCCAATAGTTCACGAACAGCCTCATTGAACTGAAGTGTTGAACTGAAGGCTTCGCTTTATTCCTGGCGCGCGAGAGGAGAACTCACTCACGCTCCCAAAGGCGCGTCTCTGAGGGGAATGAGCGCGCGCCTCCGACCAGCCCTGTGCGCGCAGACAGGTAAAAGGCGCGAGAGCTCTTCCTTCTATCGACCCATCATCACCTGAGAGCAACAAGCTCCTCTCTCTCTCTCTCTCTCTCTCTCTCTCTCTCTCTCTCTCTCTCTCTCTCTCTCTCTCTCTCTCTCTCTCTCTCTCTCTCTCTCTCTCTCTCTCTCTCTCTCTCTCTCTCTCTCTCTCTCTCTCTCTCTCTCTCTCTCTCTCTCTCTCTCTCTCTCTCTCTCTCTCTCTCTCTCTCTCTCTCTCTCTCTCTCTCTCTTCAGTGGCATTCGGCACAAATATAGCCTATTCATATAAATATGATGTCATATGATGGTTGTCACACCAGCTCGAGATGTTCAAATTAGATTCTGAATATGTTTAACTCTTTACAGGCTTGAATCTGTCTGATGCGTCTTTTCCTGAATGAACTCGCTGAATCAGTCAAAGCAGTCACTGAATTAACTTTAAGCTACCTGTACTTTCATTGACGGAATATTTTAATAAAATACATTTCTTTCAACAAAGAAACCCTAACCTATTTGTTTACCATAAAAATCTACAGGTAGTAATAAAAAAAATAGTGTGTCGTGAACATTAGGGGCATTTAATACTATTAAAAAACTAAATGTACTCAAAGTGAGTAATACTGGAAAGTAGAAGCATCCATTTAACAATTTAAAGGTGGATGGTGTTTTCTAAGTGTGCAAAACAGAGTTTCCATTCTCTAGGGCAGAGAGCGAATCACAGCTGGACTGAGCCTAGAGTGATTCATCATCTCTGACTCACATGCACTCATTACAGTATCCACTGGTCTTTCCCACAAACAGAAAATAGCCACTGATTCTCTCACAAGCGGGAGCTGTGTTCTACCGGTTGAAGATCTGAAAGTTTGTGCATTCAAACCCCAAAAATATTTATTGGCAGATAGATGGATGGACGGACGGTCGGGTGGATGGATGGATGGACGGGCAGATGGACGGACGGACGGAAGGACGGGCAGGTGGACGGTGGATGGACGGACGGGCGGATGGATGGACAGGCGGACGGATGGATGGGTGGACGGATGGATGGACGGACGGACGGATGGATGGGCGGATGGATGGATGGGCGGATGGATGGACGGGTGGATGGATGGACGGGTGGATGGATGGACGGGTGGATGGACAGGCGGACGGATGGACAGGCGGACGGATGGATGGGTGGACGGATGGATGGACGGATGGATGGACGGGTGGATAGATGGACGGGTGGATGGATGGACGGGTGGATGGACAGGCGGACGGATGGACAGGCGGACGGATGGATGGGTGGACGGATGGATGGACGGATGGATGGACGGGTGGATGGATGGACGGGTAGATGGATGGACGGGTGGATGGATGGACGGGTGGATGGACAGGCGGACGGATGGACAGGCGGACGGATGGATGGGTGGACGGATGGATGGACGGATGGATGGACGGGTGGATGGATGGACGGGTAGATGGATGGACGGGTGGATGGATGGACGGGTGGATGGATGGACGGATGGATGGACGGGTGGATGGATGGATGGATGGATGGATGGACGGATGGATGGATGGGCGGATGGATGGACGGGTGGATGGATGGATGGATGGATGGACGGGTGGATGGATGGACGGATGGATGGACGGATGGATGGATGGGCGGATGGATGGACGGGTGGATGGATGGACGGATGGATGGACGGATGGATGGATGGGTGGATGGATGGATGGATGGACGGGTGGATGGATGGACGGATGGATGGACGGATGGATGGACGGGTGGATGGATGGATGGATGGATGGATGGACGGATGGATGGATGGATGGGCGGATGGATGGACGGGTGGATGGATGGACGGGTGGATGGATGGATGGATGGATGGGCGGATGGATGGACGGGTGGATGGATGGACGGACGGATGGATGGACGGGTGGATGGATGGACGGATGGATGGACGGGTGGATGGATGGACGGTGGATGGATGGACGGGTGGATGGATGGATGGATGGGCGGATGGATGGACGGGTGGATGGATGGACGGACGGATGGATGGACGGATGGATGGACGGGTGGATGAATGGACGGATGGATGGACGGGTGGATGGATGGGTGGATGGATGGACGGGTGGATGGATGGACGGGTGGATGAATGGACGGACGGATGGATGGACGGATGGATGGACGGGTGGATGGATGGAAGGACGGGCAGGTGGACGGTGGACGGATGGATGGTCGGACGGACAGATGGACGGGCGGATGGATGGACGGGTGGATGAATGGACGGACAGACGGACGGATGGGCGGATGGATGGACGGACGGACGGAAGGACGGGCAGGTGGACGGACGGATGGACGGACGGACAGATGGATGGGCGGATGGATGGATGGGCGGATGGATGGACAGGCGGACGGATGGATGGGCGGATGGATGGACGGACGGACGGAAGGACGGGCAGGTGGACGGATGGATGGACGGACGGACAGATGGATGGGCGGATGGATGGATGGGCGGATGGATGGACAGCCGGACGGATGGATGGACGGGTGGATGGATGGACGGACAGACGGACGGATGGGCGGATGGGTTGATGGATGGATGGATGGACGGACGGATGGACGGACGGGTGGACGGACAGATGGATGGACGGGTGGATGAATGGACGGGTGGATGGATGGACGGACGGATGGACGGGTGGACGGATGGGTGGATGGAAGGATGGGCGGATGAATGGATGGATGGGAGAATGGATGGGCGGGCAAGACATCTGGATGGATGGAAAGATGGACCAAGACAGACGAATGGACGGACGAACGGATGGATGGGCTAGACCTCTGAATGAATGGATTTAACTTTCATTTATTTTTATATTTATTTATGCATTCATTTATTTTTATATTTATTTCTCACATGTATTTATTTCCATATTTATTTTTTACTTTTCCATGTGCAACATGGAAATAAGGGAGGCGGTCTCTCATTTATTTATTTATTTATTATTAATCTCCACAGGTTTTGGGCCTGCTGGATTTATGACCTAAGTCTCAAAGCTGCTTCTCATCTTTCAGTTTCTACGAAAACATTGACACTGTGTGTAAAAACAGACAGGATTCACCTGTGCCACAAACCCCAGAGCAAAGATAGCAGCAGTCACACTGAGAAGAACATGTCTAAAGACACATGCATTCCCACACACCAGCGTATTAATCCTGTTTGCAAATACAGAATTAAAAATAGTATCAAGACTGGTTTGACATTGATAATTCATAAAGCCACAGGGAGGCTGCTATAACCAAGAGAAATCTTAAAACTACCTTTATCCCACATTTCTTTGCAACTTCAGAAGTCATATTCAACACTGCTTGATGTTTTTTTGCTCTAATGCATAACAGAGCTAAAATTAATGTGTCGTGAGCTGGTTTGGCAACACAAATGAATGTGGAAGCTTCCTCTGAGAATAAAACTGAACTGAACACTTTCCCTATGGACATTTTATATTTTGTGCATAGTTTATATAGGTCTTGGAACTGGGTACTGAACCTGAAATAAACAGGAAAGAAAGTGTTGCTCGCCTTATAAAACACTACAAATAATGAGTAGTTTCACTGTACAGTCCACAGCAAAAAGATACCAAGGTGCATTAGCTTTTCTCTTCAGACGTCCACAAATGCATCATATTTTGGTCACTGATGCACCACACGGTTTTGGCGCAGAGCTCTCATATCCAAAACTGACCTTGATTTAGTCATGCAATACATCCTCCTACTACTGTCTGTAGGTCTAGTGTAGATCTCTACGATGGGTCGCCGGTCTGTTCGGGTGGCTTCTGGACAAAAGGAAAAAAACTATTTGCACAATTGTGTCCATTTTAGACTGAAGAATTTTACGCTGTGAAATTTAAAAATGTTTCACTTAATCAGAATTTACGGAGCCCCCCTAGTCCCACTTTGTCAAAAAAAATTATTATAACTATCTCGTGGCCTCAAGATAGTATCTCGTCGTGGCCTCAAGATAGTATCTCTATCTTGAGGCCACGAGATAGTATCTTGAGGCCACGAGATACTATCTTGAGGCCACGAGATACTATCTTGAGGCCACGAGTTACTATCTTGAGGCCACGAGATAGAGATACTATCTTGAGGCCACGAGATAGGGGGGGGGGGGGGGTTACAATAAAAAAAATCAGCGCAGATGAAATACCTAATAAAATAAATTATGTCTGAAAATACTATTAGAAACAATATATACAAGCACTCCCTCATTAAGAGCACTTTGCTAGTACAGAACTGCCGCTCACTGGATATTTTCTCTTTTTCGGATCATTCTCTGTAATCCCTAAAGATGATTGTGTGTGAAAATCCCAGTAGATCAGCAGTTTCTGAAATACTCAGACCAGCCCGTTTGTCACCAACAACCATGCCATGTTCAGAGTCACTTAAATCAGCTTTCTTCCTCATTCTGATGCTCAGTTTGAACTTTAGCAGAACGTCTTGAGCATGTCTATGCCTATACATGTATTAAGTTGCCGCCATGTGATTGGCTGATTAGATATATTTGCATTAACAAGAAGCTGAAAGGTGGCCAATGTGTGTGTCTGTGTGTGTGTGTGTATATATATATATATATATGTGTGTGTGTGTGTGTGTGTGTGTGTGTGTGTGTGTGTGTGTGTGTGTGTGTGTGTGTGTGTGTGTGTGTGTGTGTGTGTGTGTGTGTGTGTGTGTGTGTGTGTGTGTGTGTGTACTACACACGTCCCTTCATCCTACCAGATGGCAATACCCAAATATTAAAGAATAAAACATATTTTTAAATGAATAACATAAGTGTTGTTCAGGTGTTTATTATTGCACTTTGTATTACATTTCTGGGCTTATTAGTCTCTAAATTAACAGCTTGTGTTCTTTTATTTTTATGCAGAAATAGTTTTAGGTCTTCTTTATATGCACTCCATGTTTTACCTGTTCATCTGCTGGCTAATGCAAGTATCTAATCCAAGGGTTAAGGACATTGTTTACCTTTATACAATAAAGAACGTTGATACAATGTTTGCTCACCATTCCCTGTCTCCTGAAGCAAAACCAGCTGAGAAATTAATAATTCTAGCAACAATCACATAATCAGAAGAGATCTTATAATGAAAAACCGTCTCGGGTCTCATTAAACTCCCCATATTAATTAAAAGTCTATTCCCAGAAAGACAGGACCAGGTACGAGGGCAAATGTGGTTAGCACATCCCATTAGGTGTGTAAACGCATTGATTAAGGTTGATGGGAGAGAAGCGGCTCTAATTGATGGAAGCAGATTATTCTGGGACGTCCAGCCCCTGTGGACTCAGTCTGGAAGGTGAAATCTCACAGCATTAATCCTCCTCTCTGTCATTAATTCACATGCATTCACCATGTCATGTCTGAGCTGCCAGCCAGACTTAAATGAAAACACAACACGCGCGCTGTGACATTAAACGAGTAATATATTACTAGTACTTAGGGATAAGATTCGCTGTTGGAAACACAGGGTCTGGAAACACGAGGGAAAGTATTTGATGTATTACACTATAGCGTCCTCTGTTGCTCGCACGAGGAACTGCATTCTTCAGGACTAGTTCGTGGTTTGAGGGTATGCACATAAACTAAGAAAAATATTTGTTCTTACAGTAACTTGAAAGAAATTTAAATGGATGAGCTGATGCCTTTAATGCTCATTTTTATGCTAATGCTATTCCTAGTTAGTACCTATACTAGTTGGCTATAACTTTTTATCAGACAAGTTCAAGTCTGGTCCACTTTGCAACTTATTCTGGACGTTGGGGCCAATCACAGTTCAATCCACAGACTGGTTGGTTGGCAGTCTATTGTTAAAAATAAAAGCAAGTGGCTTTCATCTAATTTCCAAGCATTTGATTAAGATCTATATAAATCTATTCTTAAATGAGACTTCCATAATAGTGCTCATTGTAAACATGACTGCCAGATATTGCATAGAAACGATTGTGTGCAAAATGCATCAGAGGATCAGTGAACGGCTGAATAATAGATCGACTTTGGCCGTAAATGGATGCACAAGGTTAGAAACAATATTTAGCAACATTTGCAACCAGCCTTTGACACAAGGCTTGATGGATTGATGTCATTCATGCCAAAGTCTGACCCATACCATTTACATGGCAAAACAGATATTGAGTTACATCAGACCAGGTGACTTCAGTTTTAAGGAGTTTGCTGGTCTTACCTGACAGTAATGAGAAGATCTCAGCTGCTGAACTCCATCCATGTTACACCTCACTGCTTTCTCACACCATCTGCTGTAAACTCTAGAGACCGAGGTGTGAGAAGATTCAAACTCAAAGCACTCCTTCATTTTATGTGCAGCAGAGTCATAATTCTTAACAACTGAACATCTTACTTTCATGCATCCACCCGATTGGCTGATTAGATACTTGCATTAACGAGCAGATGAACAGGTGTGTCTATACACATGGAGTGTATATGGAAGAACACCTAAAACTGCATTAAAATAAAAGGACACAAGCTGATCAGTTAGAGACTAATAAACCCAGAAATGTAATACCAAGTGCCATAATAAACACCAGTACAGCACATTTTATATTTGGAGTTTATTTAAGGCTTTCAACAGTTGCATATATCAATCAGCATAACACATACACAGCAAAAACAACAATGAGCACAGGTAGTGCGGTGTCTTATTGCATGCCGTTCACATCCGATGATCTCCAGATGCTAAATCCCATCATTTAAAGTCCATGCAACAAAATTATGAAAATAATTTTCTAATAGGACCAGTTGCATGTTTCGATTTCAGCACTACTTTGGAACTTTCACATTTTTTTTTCCTAGAAAGATTATTTCGTTATTCTATCAACAAAAAAGAGTGGCAAAATTATGAAAACATATTATAAAAGGGGAAATCTGTAACTAAAATACATGTAACTTCTTAACCACGTATGAAACATCTAATCTAGTGTATGATCACATTTAGTGTTTGGTATTTGATTCAAGCTTTAAAAAAGAAAGCTCAAAGCTGTAACGATGCTGTACTGCTCAGTAAAAGTTCGTTATCAAACACGTCCAGATTGAATAACTTTTAGAAAACGTCTCGTTTGCAGTCCTCACGCCTCAACATGATTGTCTTACCAAAAACATGCAGCTGTGTGAAACCTCCTCCGCAGGCCATGGAAAACATGCAAATAAAACATGAAGCGAAAAACATCAGTAGCTGCCTTGGATTCACAGAGGGAAATGAAGCGAAAGCAGGTGCATACTGACATATACATGACTGATTCAAACTGAAGAAGATACAGCAAACACTTGTCAACAAGTTAACAGGAAACATTCATATTCACACACCTTCATTACATTAGCCTGCATTAAATTACTGCTAACTATTATAATGATTTTAGAAATGCTGACTAAGGATATCTACAGTTTTTTGCCTATTGGCTGACATTTTTTCCCCCGCCCACATGGCCTTGATGATGTCAGCTAAAAGGAAAGTCACTTCAGAGACTGAGCAGATTATGAAGACAAACATTTTCTTATTTGGAATAACATTTATGAATAATTTACAGACCAAAAACATGTACACTAATGTTCTAAAGTTTGGGAACATTTTTAAATATGAGATTTTGTTACAATATAAAATAACTGTTTTCTGTGTGAATATATTTTAAAATGTAATTTGTTCCTGTGATCAAAGCTGAATTTTCAGCTTCATTACTCCAGTCTTCAGTGTCACATGATCCTTCAGAAATCATTTTAATATGCAGATTTGATGCTCAAGAAACATTTATTATTATTAATGTTGAAAACAGTTGAGCTGCTTTATATTTTTGTGAAAACTGTTATGCACTACTAGTCATAAGTTTGGGATTATTAGTTAAACATTTTTTTTTTTTCAATTTACAAATTTAAAAAATACTTTTATTCAGCAAGGACACATTAAATTGACAGTAAAGGCTTTTATATTGTTACAAAATATTTACATTTAAAATAAATGCTGTTCTTAAAACTTTCTAGCCAACAAAAGAAGAATCCTGAAGAAAATGTACAGTTTCCACAAAAATATGAAGATTGATAATCAGAAATGTTTCTTAAGTAGCAAATCATCATATTAGAATGATTTCTGAAGGATCATGTGACACTGAAGACTGGAGTAATGCTGATGAATTCAGAATAAATTACATTTTACAATATATTCAGATAGAAAACCGCTCTTGTAAATTGTAACAATAATTCACAACATTACTGTTATTACTGTAACAAATAAAAGCAGCCTTGGCTTTTGAATGGTAGTGTATTAAGAAAGTAAACAGGGTGGATTTTGATTCATGTTAAGAATAAATGCAGTGAAATATGTAGATGTAGACGTCGAACCAATGAGTAGTGTTCGGTTGTTCATCATGAGGAATTCAATAAATAAATATATAAATAGATTTCTGTTTGATTATCGTCACAGTTACTCAAGCCTGTTGCGTCTCCGTAATCCTCCAGTCAGATCTTCTGGAAGTTTCTGAGTGACGGTGACGTCATCTACACCGATGTCACCCGAGTCCTCGAGGGAGGGCATACTAGAGTCACTCTCACCACCCACGTCTTCCTCTCCCGCTGTGTGTTTGCTCTCCTCATCCTCCTCTTCCTCCACCTCAGAATCAGGTCTGAGCGCTCGGTGATCGAGTGGCTGCGCTTCATCGTGTGTTTGTGATTCCAGACGAGTTTCTGGAAGAGCTTCGGCTGAAGTCAAAGTCTCGATGAGTCTGTCTAGATTGCGTTCACATGTCGGCTCTAAAAGAAATAACCAAGTGATTCGCATCACCCAACGGCACAACCAATCAGAAGTGTGTACAGGAGCATGTTCAGCAGCTCCAAAACCACACTTTAATATGTGTGGATGTCATGGCTATGTGTTTTTACACATTGCTCTTAAATGTGTATATTACATTACATTTGCGTGCGTTATCTTAAATGTGTGTATTTAGGATTTGTATTTAGATGTGTTGTACAGTACTTTGGTCAGTCTTGTGGCTGTGTTTAAATGTGCTTTATAAATTAATTAAACTTGAAACTTAAGATTCCAACATGCACATAATCCCATATTTCGCATGATTTATTAACACATCATGATCTTCACCGCTTAATGAGTTCACCTGCGTGATGTTGGCCGAATCAGTGCTTCTTTGTTTATCCCAATAATTTGCTTATGATATATAATATTTTCAAAGACCTGCTTCATTGATTGTGGTCGTCTGCATTAGTTATGCATAACTAGAATTTGCATTTGCACTACACATTGAGATATACTAGCAGCACTTACTCACTGACATGAACGTAAACCTATATATAAAAGATTTACACATGCGTCCAATTAAGATTTTTTTTTTTAAATGGAGCAAAATGCCAGAACAATTTGATTTATAAATACTTTGTAAATACAGATCAATAAAATGCCATTCCCAGTACTGTAATGCAAAAACAGATATACTAATTAAATAAAGATACAAATCTATAAATAATAGATAAATATATTGCGTAAGAATTTGAGTAGCTGATTTAAATAAAATAAAATAGTTAAATAAAACAAAACATAAGAAAAAGCTAAAAATCCTACTACTTTGTACTCAAAAGTGTAATTTTGTAATTAGTTGCATTATGTTATTGAGATTGAGTGGGAAATAATGAAAACACTCCTTCAATAATTCATCAGCTCATTTGGCCATGGAAGTCTTCAAAGGCCTTTAACACATTTAACTGTATGTGACACTTTCAGTGTTATATGCAATGTTATTGACCAGTAGTGAGACTTTTAACATGCTGGCGTTAACCTGTGAAGCGCACGTGTGTGTGTGTGTGTGTGTTAACTGTGTGGGTTTGTACACGGGAGCAGATGTGTTTACCTTCTATCCTGATGTTTGGAAACTCCATGCCTCTCTTCTTCATTAGCTGGCGAATGCACTGCAGCTGCGACATTATCTCGTTCTTCTGCTCCATGGCAACAGACTTCACACTGCAGCACAACAGAAAGAATAAACAGCAGGTGGAAAAACAAGCCCACACGGAAGAAACCGAACAACCAACCGGTCGCTATGAGCGTGCAAGCATGTTTTCCTTTGCATGCCGCAAACCCCGCTCTGTTTGTTTTTGCATAACCACAAGCAAATGTCTTAACCAAGTGCATTCTTCCAGGACTCAATATATCACATTTATTTAAAACGAAGGGGTTTAAACATGTGTTAGCTAGAGCTGCACGATTCTGGAGACAATGAGAATAACCATTTTTCTGTTTAAGTTAGAGATTATGTTTCTTCCACAATTCAGAATAGACAACTAAACAAAATAACGTAATTTACTGGAGGCTCTTACAAAATGTTCCTTGCTGCAGTCTATTTAAACAATTTAAAATTTAAAATAGTAAACGAATGATTTAATGACTCACTCATAGACTTATTTCATTACCGGATGAATCTGTGTATTTGAACGAATCTCTTGAATGAACGATTCAATGACAAATTCATTTTTAACAGTCGCGTGTCGCCACCTACTGGTGTAATGGTGTAATTGATACAATCTTTACTTGAAGTGTTTCAAGTTACTTTCAAAAGGTGATTTACTCTATTTTGACCGCTTCTGTAGACAGTGTTTATATCAGAACTATAAACTTTCATCCCAGTACTTCTGTGACAATTTGAATTATTGTAACACAGATATAATGATACTGTGTGGTTGAAAAGACTAACCCATACATGCCAACTGCTCTCTTCGCCAATGCAGATCTGAATCAGTTTACTTTCACAATAAATAGCTCTCACCAGTTTGTAAGCGGGTCCAGCTGGGTCAGTATGGAGTTGAGCATCTTCTCGGTCTGAGCTAACCTCTGCTCCAGCTCATTCAGCTGATTCTCTGGAAAAAAGGCACTTTCTGAGTATATTAAATAAATGGTGAGATTTTACAAACGCAAATTTCAGCATTTTCATTCGTGCACACAAACCCGTCTCCTCTGATTTCTTCACTCCTCGAGTTGTTTTGGCTTTTTGAGCTTCAGAATCACTTGCAGACTTTATCTGCAAACACACACAAACACAAACCTCTCAAACAGCAACCCAGAAGAATGGATGTTGTTTTGGCCCCTATAACGAAGCCTATTTTTAGGACCATTCATTTTTTTATGCATTGTGCCATAATTTCCTTGACCTTTCCTGAATGCAGAAGAAACATTACTGTATTATGCATAACAACAACAAAAAAGTCACCACCTTTAGAAACTTATAAGCGGCAAAGAGCCCGACTCCGATGGCGTAGATGGGCATGAGAGTGAAGACGTAGCCCTTAGTGTTGCTGTTGGATTTGTATTTGTCGCTTTTCATCTCCTGCTCCATGAGTTTCTTCATCTGATGCATGTTCTCCACATTCTGGGACATCTGAGGCGCTGCGTTCTTGTGGAACTGCTGCTGACTTTTCACGCTACCAGGACCGACACCAGAACCAGGACCTGCAGAACAACACACAGACTCACAATCCCCAAATTATACATCAGATTCGCCAGGGAGACAATCTAAAAACTATTGTGAACATGAAAATGATATTTAACATTGGGGTTTGATTGCTTGGTGCACAACACAAAATATAAATGATATCAAAATATAAAACCAAAGTTTCTCAAATGTATGTTATGTTTACAGAATGTATGCAAACATGTAATATTTACATTTAAGTTTAGCATCTTTAAAAGCAAATATGCATAAAAGCAAATTACACTTTAACTAAAAAAAAATGTACATGAAAATGATATTTTAGGATTTGATAACTGGGACAAAATATAAATATCTAAAAAATAAAATAAAAGTCACTCAAATGTATTTATGGTTTTAAAGTACAGAATGTACATAAACATATCTAACATTTAGATATAAGTTTAGCACGTTTGAATGTAAATACGGTTAAATGCAAATGACAGCTTCCTCTGCACTTTTACTAAAATAATTTTGAACATGAAAATGACATTAAACATTAGGATATTTAAGAACTGGAACAACATACAAATATCTAAAAATAAAACAAAAGTTACTCAAATGTGTTTTAGGATTTTAAGGGACAGGATGCATGTAAACATGCTAAATTCACATATGAATATGTAAAATATCAATAAAAACAGATATGGATAAAAGCAAATATGGATAAGCGCAAATGACAGCTTGCTCTGCACTTTCACTAAAAATTATTAATAATGATAATAAACATTGTGATTTGTTTGCTGGGTGCAAGAGACAAAATGTAAATATCTAAAAAATAAAAAAAAGTTAATCAAATCTATTTTATGGTTATATAGTACAGAATGTACGTAAACATTTATAACATATTTAGATACAACTTTAGCATGTATGAATGCAAATATGGACAAATGCAAATTACCGCTTCCTCTGTACTTTTACTAAAATAATTCTGAACATGAAAATGATGTTAAATATCGACTATATGAAATAAATATAGATACGATAACAAGAAACATTTTCTGGAGTAAACTAAAGGTGTTAATACAAACTTCACAAACCAGAGACGTAGTAAAATGTGCAGCAAATCAGCAAAGACCGTCAAAAGGCCACAATAAAGAGAGTAAACAAACACAGGTGTGCTCGTGCCCGCACCTCTCCTGCTGATCCGCGGGTCGGAGGACTGCGCGTCTCTGGCACTGCCGCTGAACATGCGAGGAAACAACACGAACACCAGCAGCACTGCGGTGACCGCCATCACGAGCTGCTGCGAGGACGACAACACCATCTCTGTACGGGAACTAATGCTGATCAATGAATAATGATTCACCAATCCCCACACTGTTGACAAATTATCTTCTTCTGTTTGTGTGTAACGAGAGAAAAGGCTCGAGAGCGCCATCACTGACCTCTACAGGACTGGCGTGAAATTACAGCTTTACTCTGTTAGAATACGATTATAAAACTTGCTAATGTTCCGTGTCCGACACAGTCTCTCTGACATGATATCATGTGAAGAAAACGAAACGTTGTGAGTTTTCATGTTTTATGGCACTTTCCATAGACATGATGGATTTGATACTGTATAAACTGTATTCTCCCACCTTACACTAACCCTTCCCCTTGTTTTTATTATTTCGTTACATCGTTTCCCTGCACATGCTCCACTTATCCTGTTTAGCCTGGCTGGACATGTGTCAGATGAGAGAAGAACTGTTTGAGAAATATAACTTGCCATTGATGTACAAGTGATTGCAATAGGCCTGTGTGTGTGTGTGTGTGTGTGTGTGTGTGAGAGAGAGAGAGAGAGAGAGAGAGAGAGAGAGAGAGAGAGAGAGAGAGAGAGAGAGAGAGAGAAATATCTTTATACTGCAAGGCAATATTTATTTTATTTTTATTTGTTATTTATATATTATTTTATTGTCATTACCTGTTTTCATACAGAAGTTTAGTTTGCTAAATATCAAATTGTTTTAGTTGGATATTGGATGTGAAAAGGAAATGGTTCTTCCATAACACCGCACTTTAGATGTGTGTGAATTTCCCACACCAGGAGTAATTTATATAGTTCTATTTTATAGTGATTATCTGTTAAAAAAAATGTTCTATGCAAAATGTTCTATTAAAGAGAAGATAGACAATAAATATTTGTGTGTGCTGTAAAGTGGTTTGAAAAAATGAAATCAGTATCGGCAGGTCAAACTCGAGGAAAAATCGGAATCGGGATCGGCCTAGAAAATTGTAATCGGTGCATCTCTAGCCTAAACAATAAATCAGGTAATCTGGCTTTCATAACTCAGTGCCTAGCCTCTTTAAGACATCACCGCACTGCATGCACCTTGCTTTACTCAATGAGCAAATTCTCCTGTCAGAGCAGTGACAAGAAATGTCATAATTGTCTTTTCAGACTTTTTGATGTTCAGGTTTGATGGGTTTTTTTATTTGCATATACTCAAGAAGAAGAAAAAAGTTCCTCATGTGACATGATTGTTTCCTGAAACGGCCTAATAAAGTCCTTGAACATTCATGGGCTGCAAGTCTCAACATTCACAAGTCTCTCTGAACTGATAGAAGCCTCACACACACTGCCTCACATTTACAGCAGAATTCAAGACACAGCAAAGGTAATGTTCCACCATTTATAACTGTGTAGCCTATATAAAAAAACTGTACAAATTATAACAAATTAAAGATTTTTAATAATTTCAGAGTAGCCTATTTGAAAACTTTAGACAAGAAATTACAGGCAAAACCTTTGTTTTATTCATGCACTGGTCCATTTTGAGTTTTTGCTTTTGTAACCTTTCTTCTTTCAGACTAGTGGAAAGAAATCACCTAAAATACAATTTCAAGTGTTATTTTATCAAACTTTATGTATTTGCATCTGTAGATTTCAATTTCAATACATATCTTTTAATGCTGCGAGAATTGAGTCAGAAATCTCCACTTTAGCAGCTTTACTACAGTTACACTTACAAAACGTACAGTTTTATTCCATATTCGGAAGGGTTTTACAAAGGGATTTGTATATTATTTGCCATACATATATTTAAGTTTATTCCTTAAAATATGGTAAAAAATAATTGGTAAAATATATATTTTTTCTGGCTGTTGACAGTGTTTTCTTATTTATGGAGTGATAAAAAGAGATATTTAAAATCACCTCTGTAAAAGTATCTAATATCTATGTGTATGTGTACTTAGTGAACAACGGTAGCTTATCTTAGGTAGGCCTATATGTCCAAAAATTGGTAATGTCATACTTTAGCGTGACTTTGCGTAATGATCTGTTTGAAAAATGTATTGCCTGTATGAAATGAAATCGCAAAACTGTGTAAATTGGTTCGCGAATCAGTTTGAATGTTTTGTTCAGATCCCTGCACGCACTGAATCGTCTTAAACAGGAATTAGAGAACACCATGAGCATTGGATGAAGTGCAGGACAGTCAGTTGAAAGCAAACCTGCATCGTATTGTTTGCCAGCTCATCTCTTTATTACCGTAGTTGAACATCTGCGTATGCTGTCTGCATCATTCCACAGGTAGGTAGGCCTACTAATTTCTTAATGTATTGCATTAAAATTAATAAAAGTAACGTGAGTCTTTGTTTTTTCATTAGAAAAGTAGGCTATTCGAGTTAAAGTAAAAGTTCCCACATTTAAATCTACTCTTAAAAGTACAAATGTTCCCAAAAATGTCTCATGTAGTTTGTTATACCCACAAGGGTGAAATAATAGGAATTCATCCACCCTGGAATCTCACCCGGGGACTTTTTACTAATAATTTCCCCTAAAGACAACACCGATTTGCTAACTGGAAATGGGCAGGAGACGTAGATATAAAAAAAACTAATGTTATTAAAGATAAAAAGAAATTATGCAAGACAACACCTATACAAACCAGTCATTGAGTAGACTACAAACAAATTATAAATATGTAAGCCCAAAAAGGTTCAGCAGGTAGACACACAATGGCATGTACAAAACAAGTCACATTTCACCTGTGCACACACACACATTTCAATCCCATGGAGAGGCACCACATAAAATGAGCAATGACAAAACAGACACGGCCTAGTATACTTTTAACAGTAATTTTTCAAGATACTTTAAAACGTTTGCATGGCATGATAAATACGCTATATAATATGGCAGTTTTGAGAAAGAAAAAATAACAGATATAGCCGGCCTATGTCACATAGGCCTAAGTCTCAATATTACATTCAGAAACAGGCTAATGTAAAATACCGGTAAATAAAGCGAAATGTTTACAAAAATTATAAAAACAGATAAACATAGCTAAAGGCTATTTAGTTCCCCTCACTTCACAACAAATACTTTAAATTTAACCAGAACAGAGCAAGAAAGTCTAGATGATTAGGCTATACTTAATTTATAGCACACTGTAAAAAAAAAATCCCGTAAAAACACGGCAAATCTCTGGCAGCAAAGTTTCCAGACGGTTTCCGTTAAATTACTGCAAATAACCGTTTCACAAAATTACATGGAAAAACCGTAAAAATACAGAATTTACTTTACAGTCAAAATTGATTAAATTACAGTATATTACTGTTGATAATGGCTTATTAAACCGCGGAAAAACGGATAAATGATGTCAAATTACATTTAAAAGACATTTAACTTTCAGGTTAAACTGTAAATTTAGGGTTTTATAAAGTTATTTTATGTAATAATGCTGTCTCTCTACAGTAATTATCTTTTAATATATAGTTCCCTTTCGTTGTCACTCCGAGTTCCGTCGGATGACGACGAATGGGGGTTTTGCTTAGAAAGCCTATCGACTTCGAGTATATAAAACGAGCCAATGGCAAGCAAATGCCATGGGTCTGCGGAATTTGCATGGCGCAACTCCGCCCCACCTCGTGGGAATAAAAGGAGAAAGCCGGCAATATGCAGATATGTTTTTGCTTCGGAGCCAAGATGTTCTCTTTACTCCTGCAGTCTATTCTCTGACTATCTTCGAGAATCTTCAAGACGAGCAGCTTCCAGTCGGTGTTGGTGTGATGGCGTGTTCCAGCGAGTTTCACATTCCTGCCTGCTGATCTGAACAGCGTGTGTGCTTCTCCCTGGGCGCTTCAGCACTGCTGCAAGCTTTTCTCTCACAAAAAGAGCGTGCACGCGGCGCGTCTTTCTAAAGACGATCTGCCCGTGTATTTCTGAGTGCGGTAGTCTGATAGATTCAGCTGATGGGCACGAGCGCTGTTTTGACGTGTTTGGGCTTCGATCACGCTCGAACAGCGTTCGCGGATGTGTCACATTCTCTAAGGGGAACATGACCATCGCAATGTAACGGTCAAGACTCAATGAGCTCAACCGAGTGAGAGTCCCCTCATCCACACCCCAATCTATTTTCTCCACGTGAGAGAATACTTTGGCTGGTGGCCAGGGTGACCTGAGATGGCTGGTGTGGAACTAAACCGCCGATTAATATCCGTGGTCCACACCCCTCTCTTTGACATTGCAACCCGCGCGGTTCTGAATGAGTGCCGGCGGGCCGGCATCTCATTCAGTTCCCCGGCTGATGAAATCATGTCTATCGCCGCGTCACAAAGTGAGCTGGAGTCCTTTGAAAGTGAGGGCTCGTCTATGTTGCCACTCTCGGGTGTGCAACCTAGCGAGTCTGATCCAGAGTTGACAGCTATGCTTCCCGGGCCGCCGCGAGTATCGGGCATGTGTGGATTACTCTGCCATGTCTCGAGCACTCAAGACTGATGATTGGTCTGTAGGTTTTTTGTCTACTCCGGTGGCAAAGACCTATAGAGCAGCGGACAGGCTGCCGTCTCACTGCATGTTATTGCCATCCTTCGGGGTGCTCAATGACATGCACGAGGGTAGGGCTGATTCAGGGCTCATCTAAGAGACTGCCTGCCGCCACCGACCTCGCTCTACGAGTGACGAAGGTGACCGCACGCTCCCTGGGTCAGGTGATGTCCACTTGTGTGGTCAGACATTTCTGGGTTAACCTGGTTGGTATGCGCGAGGCTGAGCGAACCCGCTTCCTCAACTCCCCCATATCCCAGGCTGGCCTTTTCGGCGGCGCGGGCGAGGACTCTGCCCAACAGTTCTCGGCCGCCCAGAAGCAGACTGAGGCTACCAAACACGTTCTGACCCCGCGGCCAGCTGCTGCCGCCGGTTCAGACGCCTCAGTTAGCTTGCCGCCGGACGCGCCCTCCTGCGACTTTCGCCCCCTCCCGCCCGGCCCCAGCAGCTCCGGGCCGCGCCGTGGAGGTGGTCGCAGGAAAGCGCCCCAGCCCGTACCAGCCCCGCAGCCTGCCAAATGCCAGGCAAAGCGG